ACATGAGTTGATGTACTTTTTGCAGCCCAAGAGTATTGCTTACTAGCCACAGAGTTTTTGATGTTTTGTAGAATTTAACAGGCACTCACAACGTTTTACCGACGTTCATGGCACAGGGCTTAGAAATAAGCCTCATCACTGGGGTCAAGCAGAATGCACATCCAAAGCAGAGTGCAAATGGATCCGTCATATAACAAGAAGAATAGGTGAAACAAGAGAAAAACAAAAGTGGAGTGAACTCTAAGGGAATGCAGTCGTTCTCTTAGACAACTACCCAAACGATAGGTGGCCGTGCTCGTTGCTAACGTCAATCACCCACCTGCATTCACATGCTGATGGAAACGATTTCAGGAATTCGGAATGATCTTCGCAGACATCAAGCTCGAAGTGGGTCAACACCATGAAAGACATTAGCGCAAGAGAGGGACGAATGGAGTTTGTGTTGGAGCGAACATTAACAGTGAAGGTGGGCCAACGAAACATCCCTTCAAATAAGTAACTAAGTCAGCCTTCTTGACCATGCTCACATTGTTTCTAACCTAAGATTCTCAATGTGAGGCTCCTGAGATGTCTTCCTGGGTCTAACTGTCACGTTAAAATGGCAGGCGCGACATTGTAGAAAACTGTGGTTTTTTTTCTCTAGAACGTCTCTGAGCCCATATAGAACCTTTCGCCCTCGCTTTTACCATAGGTTGATGCTGTAGCGCAGACGTCAAACCTGGTATTAGTACACGTGCTTCTCACTGTAAACCAATTCTTGGCACTAGCCATTCAAAGTAATCGATAATCCGACGAACATATCTGCGCTGTAATGGACGGCGTTAAATGCGTAATGTCTTGTAGATGCCACACATACCCGAACACATCAGCATCGTGAGAATGATTTTGTCTCCAGATCTTCCTCAGCGAGCCATCTTCTCGAATGAGGCATCCTCACTCAGTGATGCCCTTTTATACACGATGCTGATGGTGGATATATAATGACAATGTCCGGTGGTAACAACTTGTATTTCTTCCGGACATACATCATTGCGCACATCGTGCAGAGGTCGGTGTATTATCAGCTAGCACAAAGCGTAGTAATATTTCGAAACCGACCTTCCCTAAACCTCGGTGTGACTAATCAATATGCATTCTTTCTTGATAAGCTTGCACGAGGTTGATAAATATATTTATATTTAGACGATTATTTAGATTTATTTAGACGCAACGTCGAGGCGAACAACAAGCGTGGACGATCGACTCGGATCACCGGCTCTGAGGAAGACGAAGACGTCGAAACGTTAGCCGAAAATAAATATATTTATCAACCTCGTGCAAGCTTATCAAGAAAGAATGCATATTGATTTTGTCTCCGTTGCTAAAGGAACGGTTTATCAAATTTCATAGTAATAACAAAGTCGACATCCACCGGTCCATGGGTTGCAGGAAATAGAGTGTTTTATCCTTACTTCTTTCGTCGTTTGTTTTCGCAGCTCATTCGCAACCATATGCTTCATTTCCAATTGAATTTCCCAGCGATGCCCTAGTGATTAGCATGAAACGCTGCCAACTTAAATCTGCGCAATTGTATCACGCATGTTCACTACAATAACGTTCCTTGACTACTCCAAATCACACAAAGGGGATACCTTTGTGTTGTTCCCGCGTCCACAGCTAAACTGGTGTGAAGAAATTGTTTCTATTATTTTCCATGGTTTCATTTCTCATAACGTTGCAAACTTTTCAAGGATTGCGATAGAACGTTTTCTAAAACATTTAACTTCCCATCCCATGAGCCACCTTACCCATGCCACTAATTTGTTCCACCTTCTTAAAAGAGTTAATTTTTAAAAGGTGATCCTTAAACGGTGCAATTATCTTTTTTCTCTTTTTTTTAGTATTTAGGTTACGTATTTGGATCTACAAAGATTTTGAAAACGCTGCCGCACTACGAGAGAATCCCTTCCCTAATATTTACTTGGGAAAATTAGGCATACTCTCTTAGTCTCTCCCAGAAAAGCCGTTCCTAATGTGTGAGAAGGTTTCATGAAAATTGGTACAAAATTACAACCTAGTAACAATTACAACCAACAAATACTATGAAATTTGATTCACCTAGCCGGTGAACCAGACTACGTGAATGCAAGAAATCACGCTCGTGATGTTGAACCGCTATGCGGAAAAATACGATGGCTTTGCGTAGAAACTTCTGCACGCCGTAAGAACAACACTGCATCGAACGAATTCTGTTAGATATTCGACAGCTTACCACGTCTTCTAGTTTGAACTATTGAAAGCATTGTATCATTCGCATGCGTGTGGCATAAAAAGAAGCTCTGGGCGTTGATCGATACCTGAGGGATGCGCCATGCATTCGACTTCATTAATCATTGCTGGAGTTGATTGGATGCATACCTGGCCTTTACAACTACTCACGATGGCCTACCGATGTATCGAGCCAGTACTGCTATCCACCCAGACAAGTCTGGTACCAATTTGGCGACCCCCGAAGGATAGAGGGTTTGGTGGGCCATGGGTCCGGGGATCGATCTCAGGTATAAAGCATCGTGCCTCCGATCACTGCGCCACATGCGCCTATGCGCGTGGCAATAGGTCGGGATTTTGAGGTTGAGCGCATAATCGTTGCCATCCACTACTTTTTAGGTTTGTATTTATTTGCAGTGAATAGCACTGTAGTGTTAAAATGGAACATTTTAGTTGTGGACTACTCTTATGAGCCAGTGCATATGCGGTCGGTAACGTACGGTTGCGTTACCTCCGAAGATCACCGTTCGGATATTTCTGGCGGGTATTGGGGATCTACTTTGATCCGAGGTAGTATTCTTTAAACTAAATCTGGCAACTCATAGCTTCAGAAGTAAGTGACGCTTTTCTATAATAGTTTTTTGATATTGTCACTATCATTGAAAGGCGCGTGCGGCGCCACTGCGACACACATGTGGAATCGATCCCTGCGCCCATAGCCCACCAAGCCGTCCATTCCTCCAGGGTCGGCAAATTGCTACCAGACTTGTCTGGGGGGATAACAGCACTGGCTCGATACATCCGCGAGTCATTGTAAAGACCAGATATGCATTCAATCACCTCTAACGATACTTATTGAAGTCGAATGTATGGCGCATCCCTAAAGGGATTGATCAACACCGAGAGCTTTATCCTTTTTTTTTATCATTAATCGTTGGTGTTCAACATAACCGCTCTAACATTTTCACAATGAGGGAATTTTTCATAGGGTCTCGACCAGTGTTGGTCGGTCTGGGTTAGCCTGAGAAGTACATGAAGCCGTCCGGTGTGTTTTTTTTTCTGCGCAGAGCACATATATTTGTTGCAAAGTGTTGCTTTCTCAACTATCAATGTTTTGTTTGCTTGTCCATTTCAGAGAAGAGTTTCCGTTGCATAACCGCTGGGCTACGAGAAGTTTATCACAGAAAAGGCGACACAGCTTGAAAATGACCATCAAAGCGAGTTTTTGCTGTTTCTGAGGGACGGCGTAGAGGTAGCACTGTTGTGTTCGTTATTAGTCCTGTTACTTCATGTAGTTCTATTATTGCTAGTAGTTACTTTGCTTAAAACATTCTGTTTTTTTACATTAAACTAAAGGAATTAGTGGAGACCGAACCTAGTCAAGCCGAGATACCAATGATATCTAAGAATATTGCTGAATCAACCTGGCTACTTACTCTCCATGCTCTCAGCAAGCTTGCTATGCCAAGGCGTACATCATTTTCTACTACGAGTTAATTTTACTTTCTCATGACTACGACTCCTTCAATAAAGGGTTACGTCATCTGCTTTTTTGCTATGCTTTACTTTAAGCTGGAAGACATGTTGTATGTAGGCATGCTTCCTGTAAATCTGGTTTATATTGTACTGTTAGCATGTCCGTTCATCTTTTCTGCGCAGATGGCCCTACTGTTAGTGTTAGCATCTCAAAGTATCTGCGACGCTTTGATCCCATGGCTTTGTGATTCTTACTAAATTGGCTTGTGTGTTCCGGTTAACCCCCTTTGATGTGGCCCTGTTGATTGAGCTTACTAGTTCGGAGAGCATTTCTAGCGCTGCTTTGAATATCTCTAGATGCTGAGGTCTATGGTGGTAGATGGAGCGTTGTCATCCCTTGTATTCGAATTCGACATGATTTCGAAGGAGAGGGCTGTAGAAAGAATTGCTCATCTTTCTTGCTTTTGCTATTTTTATCACCACTTTTTCATTCCGGTGGTATCATTTTAGGCTACTGAAGCGCCTTGCTCTGATTCTGCTAAAGGGGAATATGTTCTGGTTCTTAGGGCAGACTCAAGGCTTCTCGACAATTTCAAAGTTCGTTCAAATATACGTAGTTTTATGATGTTGAGACTTTTGCAAAACTCCGGACCGCAGATGCATGCGGTAGGGAACGAACGCGCTATTGTCCTTTCCGCGGAGTAACGCGTTCACCACCACACCATGCGGGTCCTTCGTTTCGCATGTCTCTCAGCTAGTTCTATCGATCACTTACCATCTTACAAATACCTCAGCATTGTATAAGTTATATTTCGCAACACACTCTGCGATTAAAAAAGAATAGGCAGTAAATAAAAAGATTGAAATTGTGATTATAACTATAGCCTCAGCTTAAGTGGGTTCAATGCCGATTTGGGCTCCTCAGATCAATCCCGTTGACGGGTGACTGCGGCAAGTGATCGATAGAACTAGCTGAGAGACATGCGAAACGAAGGACTCGCATGGTGTGGTGGTAAACGCGTTACTCCGCGGAAAGGACAATAGCGCGTTCGTTCCCTACCGCATGCATCTGCGGTCCGGAGTTTTGCAAAAGTCTCAACATCATAAAACTACGGTAGGCGACGCCCGCACCTAACGAAAAGAATTGGGAAGAGTCACATGCTCTAACATAGGTTGAAGATATTTGGGATAACATGTCTTCCATAATTGAGCATTAAAATAGGTGGTATATTAGTAAGTTGATGAAGGAGATGTGTCACTGAAGTCTCCAGAATGTTATGGAAACCGTACCTAGTGAAACCGATCTGTTAAGTATGGCCAGCCTTGACTTAGGTTCGTTCACTTTTTTCTATTTTGTTACTAATCGCTTTGAATATCATTTGGAGATCCGTTTTAGGTCTAGGATCTGTGGAATAGCGGGGAACTGGGTGGTACCTAAAGCACTTCAACATTCCATTGTTGAAAAAAGGACCAATTTTCGTTATACGGCAACCTTCCAGTATTATTCTTGGAAGATCTATTCGTTTCTCCATGTCTTGAGTCTGAAAGAGAGAAAGAGAGATTAATCCACTTTACGAACCTTCAGGTGAGCCGTCTGGTATGCCTTCCACAGACTCGCGGAATAGAATTCAAATTGTCATTCTGCTTAACGATTCTAGTGATGTTTATGGAACTGTACCTCAAATGGAATATTCCACTGTGGGCTTTACAGCAGGTATAACATCTGATTACTCGTTGAATTTCTCTCTTGCCTTGCTCTAAGTTAATAAACTGAACTCCATTTTCGCCGTTCAGATCGAGTAGTTCTTCATGAATATTTTCGCCTTCTGTGTTTCTCAGGGAGGGAAATCGGAGGAGTTCTATTTAGATTACAGTGATACAAGAAGTAGAGGTTTTTTTTGCATTAATAGTCTGTAGACTTGTATCTCCTATTTCTGTTTTTTCTAGAGCTGCATCTGTTTCTGGATATCTTCAGAATGCCTTGTGAAAGTTTTTGGTGTCAAAGTGAAGTTGAGTGAGTTGTTAGGCTTTTATATGGTGTTTTTCAGCCAATAATTATACTCTTCCACTCAGTGGTAGTTTTTGTAGCGGTGCAAGTAGTACTTCATTTTTACACTTATATTTTCTAGTATATCATCTGTTTCAATGATCAGAAACGAGGCAAATTGATTATTCAAAACTTCAATGTTTCTGTTAAGGTCGAGCTGTTACATTCCGACGAAACTTTTGAAAGTGGGATAGGATTCCACGTTGAAGTTAAGTTTAATACATTCTCGTTGCTGTGCATTGATTTCACTGGTTATTCAGTGAAACATAACTTAGCCTTCCGACTTTCAACATACGCAAAGTTTGGGTCAAATTTATTCGGAATCTCAGCTACACATTGTACTGTTCCATTATTTCAATAAGCAACAAAGTTTAATTTTTTCACCAAACATCAGGCGTATGGTGGGACGGCTAGATTATATAGGAATACCAAGTAGTTAAGACGATTCGGTCAGGATTTGCTGCTCGCCTTTGTGTATGCCACGCGGGACTTCTTGTAAGTAGTAGTCACAATGCCGGAAACCTCAAACTTGGGTAATTAAACCGTTTATCATAATTATACAACAATTATGGCATAACAATACAACTGTACAATTAATACAACAATGATACAAGTAATGAATAGGCGCAGCCTGATTTCTTGTGTTCAGGTTGCCCAAGAGTGAAGAGGTTGTCATAAGACTTCGACCACATGAGATCGATGTGAGGAAAGGATATGGTGATTTGGGCAGCATTGCTGTGACCTGAGCTAGTCAGCCGTGGAGCCGTTTATATACCGTTTGGGTTGGGCGGAGTCAGGCTACAATAGGCGGAGTCGCGTTACAGTAGGTGGAGTGGGGTTACAGTAGGTGGAGTCAGGCTACAGTATGCGGAAGGACGGCTACCGGAAACATTTCACAAGTGTTGCAATCTGATAAGGCGATAGTCAAAGCATAGGACTGTAACTGCAGATGTTTTTCATGAGATAACCGCCGACGAAATGTTAGTCATAAGGTCACCGGAAGCCGTATTCGAAAATGTTTGACATAAGGTTATAATTAATTTACATAGAGAACATTCCAATATTCGTAAAGAATGTTCTCTATAAGGCGTTTGGCGTTAAACTAGGTATGCGCCATGTGTTCATTCGACTCCGTTAAGCAATGCAAAAATGGGGTGAAGGCATATTTCTCAAATATTGTGGCCTACAGCGATCCAGCAATGTATAAAGTTAATTCTTGTCTATTTTTCCTGAGAAGTCTTTGCCAATCTGCCGACCCAGTACTCCTGATGGATTAGGTCGACTCGCAGTGTGATAGTGTACCAATGGTCACCTGCGTCGCACGCCACCTCTGTCCACTGCACTATCCATACATGAAATTTAATAATTCTAATAAAAATCGCTAGAATCTTTCAGCGTTTTCCATTAAATCGCAGGTTTTCTAGTTCTACCATGGTGAGGCACTGATTTTCTGTGGAACGCAAATCATCTTCGTTTTCGCATTTTTTCATCGCTAGCGTTGAAAGTCATGGGGTTGTAATCGGAATCGCTTTCAACAAATGGCTTGGCTTGCATGCATTTTTGATGTTTGCGGCTGCCGCCGTTGTACAAAAGTTAAGAATTTAGGTTGCAAACAATTTTATTATGGTAGTAGTACTCCAAGTTTTCTTGGTAAGTCTATAAAGTTCTCAAGTACTCTGTCACACATTAGCACAACTGAAATTTTAATTTTCATCGGAAATGTCGTAGAAAAATGCATAGTTCCCCTCAAAGTGACGGTTCACATGTGAGTCAAGCGCGACTCATATCCTGGTTTAATGGGCGGCGCAACTACCTAGCGAGTACGATCCTTTAGAACCGATCTGGAACAGATATAATGAAGTACAGATTCGCTCTATCTGCGCGTGCGAATCCTTCAATACATGCTCTCACTCTAAGCACGCGTGTAGCGCAGTGATTAGAAGCGCCCTGCAATACACATGGGCTTGACCTGCGCCGCTGGTCCACGAAGCCCTCCAGGGTCGGCAAATTGGTGCCAGACATGTCTGTTAGGACAATAACACTGGCTGGATGCGTCGGTAACCCACCACTAGTCATTGTATAGTCCAGATATGCATTTATTCACTTTTAATGATGCTTAATAACGTCTAATGCATGGCGCATCTCTCACAGAGTCGTCAACTCCGAGTGCTTTATCCTTTATCCTTTATGCTCTTACTACATTGGAATTACCAATAGACAGCTCTGTGCCTCCATTGTTTGAACAGCAGGCGTTGGAGAGTGATATCAAAGCCTTATTCTAAACTTGTCAATTTACTGTGTATTTATCCTCGAAGCCCCAAGTGGGATAACGTATTTTATTGATTTGTAAAATTCGCATTGTAGTTACTGTTGAGCAAGTACTTTTTTCTTTGAATAATTCTGGCTCGATTTGTTTGATGTGCGTATTGTATTTATTTTTCTTTTTGGTTTTTAGGTATGATGACTAGCGCTTGTTTCCGAAGGCGTTCAAAGTGCTTTATTACCGTTCGTTTTGTTCGTGGAGGCTGTTCTTCTGCTACGGTTACCTATCTTTCTCTCCTATTTACCTTCTTTCCAGTAACAATTACCATAATATTTGTGATTTGTTTTGCGGGTTTTTTCACAATCGTATCCAAGCATCTGGGCCATTGGTCTCAACTGCCAATTGTGCAGCCCAGTACCACTAGCAATTTCGTTTTCTCGGGAATTAGTGAACAAGTCCGTTTAAATATATATGTATAAGTACATGTTTCCAATTTCCGTGTGTAAGTACTGATACGTGCATATGTATTTGTTAAGGGCGCCCGTGGGGCAGTGCTTGGAGGCGCCCCGCAATATACATGCGACCGATTCCCGCGCCTCTGGCCCACCAAATCCTCCATCTTTCTGAAGTCGACAAATTGGTACCAGACTTGTTCGGTAGGGTAGCATCACTGGCTAGATACATTGGTTGCTCATTGCAAGTCATTGCAAAGGCCAGATATGCATTCAATCACCTCCGCGACCCACATATGAGTTGCAAAAATAGCAAACAAGCTAGCTTTTAGCTTTTATATGTGTTTGCTTACTTATTTATTTAACACATTCACGGCATGCTTTGATTGAACGCATTTGGTACGGAAACAATGGCTGTTATAAGTTTAAAGCGGCATATGTCGGCTCATAACGAAATTTATGAACTCTTATGCGGCCACAAAACTCTGCGCGTGCCTTGGAGGATAAAAGGATAGAGCTCTTGGCGTTGATCAATTCCTGAGGATGCGCCATGCATTCGACTTTATGAAGTATCGTTGAAGGTGATTGAATGCATGTCTGGCCAATACAATGACTCGCGGTGGTCTACGGATGTATCAAGCCAGTGCTGCTTTCCTTCCAGACAAGTTTGGTACCAATAGGGATGGAAGGCTTGGTGGGCCGAGGGCGCAGGAATCGGTCGCATGTGTATTGCGAGGCCCCATCGACAACTGCCCCACACACGCCCATTGTAGAAGCTGTACGATGTGGGAATAATGGCCACTTTCAATTTCAAATGAACATATCGCAAATTTTAGTGAACCTACCCAGTTAGGTAAAGACCGTTAGGATCTGCAGGTCCTAATTGGATACAAGTTTTCTTTTTCCGTGAATATGAAGCTGAAGTTTTATGAAGTCTCCGAATTAAAATTTTTCTTGGACCTCAAAGCGATTGGGCAGGCATATTTTTGGTCATCAGAATCCAACGATATATGCGAACGCATTGTTAATGTTTGTGGCTGCGGAGTTTGCCTTGAGAATTCTAGTATCGAAACCCCGTTTTCATTTCTCTGGAAATATTGATTGTAAACAACTTTGGAGATTGAATAACATCTTAGGAGAACCATATTTACTCTATGTTGGTAGAGCAAAGTCTCTTTAACTCTAATTTTCGAAAAAGATTCAGCAATTGTTGTAAAACCAGGCTCGGACTCTGAGTCTTTGGCAAAGAAACATTGTGATTTTTTGTTTGTACTTCAAATGTCTCGTTTTCTGAAGAGAGCAATCAAAGGTGTTGCCATTTCCAAAGTGCCATCGAGATGTCATTAATTTAGCGAAGCAAATGGTTTTAGCACGTACATAGTATGTGTATTTGGGTTGTTAAGCATGTTTTCTCGTTGCAGTGGCACCTCAGCCTTGTTGATCGAGGTGTTGTGTTCAAGTGGACTAATCCTGCTGTGCAACACCTGGATGACTGTGAATCCAAGGTCGTGATAATTCGAGTCAATTCGTTCTCTCATTTTTCTTCTCTCATGGCTCCTTTTTAAGTAATGAGGTAGTATGAATTAGATTCTCTTTCAAAATTTTTTTCAGCATAAGTTCTAATTATTTTTGATTACCGTTGTGTCTCCCTGTTCTAATAGACCCGAGGAATCAGATCCGAGTTCTGGGTAATCGTGCATTGAACCCGGATTATTCTGAAGGAACCGGTTCGTCAATGGTATTAATCAGAATTGGGCATTAATAGCGTTTCTTGGCGTGTTTTTAGGCGATTTCCATTTATATTTTTATTTTTTGGATGCGACAAGGGGATGTTTAACATTTAGATTTTGTTTCCTTCCTCGTATCTTCGATTGTGTATTTCATTCCTTCACCAATTCCAACGATAAACAAGAGTGTAAGTGATTTCTGTTCGCTGAGGGTCAAAACCAAACATGTGATTTTGGAGGAACATGTACGCTACATATCACATGCAAATGCATCTTCAGTGACTTCTTTTGTTTTAGCATAACTTCTATTTAAATGGTGTTTCGCTGGATGGATAGGTCTGTTTACCGGAAGTCGGACTGGTTTCGCTTCAACTTCAATATTGGTGTTTTTCCTTTCCAATTTGGACTGTTTTGCACATATGGGTAGCGAACACGCCAGTGTACGTCGAAGCTCGGCACTCATGAAAGTCCATTTGCTCAGGTGAGGCGATGCACTATTAAATTGGAAGAGCGACATGTATTTGAAAGATGGTCGACGTTGGCTCGTAGTGAACGAAAAGAAGTTTTCAAGCTATCCTAAACAGGAAATCAGAGCTTAGCTTTTCGCTTTTCCACCTTATTTGGATGCCATATATATATATAAATGTATATGTGTATATACATAATATACATATATGTATGTGTACGCACATATATGTGCGTATATATATGTACATATATGTATATATATATACACTGTATATATACATATATATATACAGTTTATTTACATATATGTACATACACATGTGTTTTTCTTTCTTTTCTAAGATTTTTTCCAGTTTGAAATGTGTTTCTAATCATCCTTATAAGAATGGAAAAGTAGATGTACTGCTACAAATGCTGCTTGAAGCATTACTTACGCACTTAATCACTATGATTTGACGTCGCCCTTGTAGCAGAATCTCCGTAGGAATCCTAATTGCTCAGCTTATTATACCTCGTCCAAAATCTTTGATGGGTGCACTAAGATATTTTTTCCATGTCATTCCATGTCGCAGGCGTTGCGTAAATTCAGTATTACAGCGATGGATTCCGTAGTGGCTGCGTTTCCTATAATGTCAGGACCTCTAAGCGTGTTTAGTGGAACCCCGAGATCTTCCCCTTCAAGCAACTGTCTTGCTGAGGAATTTGCTTGCAAAACACTCATGTGATGAAAGGTAGTCGAATATAATTTCTGTATACTTTTCTTTGTTTTTTTGCATAGCTTTTTATGATTGCACTATTTAGAATGTTCGACGTCGATTAGCACTGCTTTATTTACC